TTTTTTTTTTTTTTTTTTTTGAAAAATTCTTTCCTATGATTTGGTGCGAAGTACGTGAATTGCATAACTGAACTGCGAATGTGAGAAGGAACTTTAGGGGCCGTTTTGCCATAAAAATATTTCACTTTTTTTCGGAAATTTTCTTTTTTTCAAATTAGTGTTTGGCATCAATTTTTTAATTTTTACTTGACAATGAATTTCAAAATTTTTTCGAAAATTTTAAAAAATTCAAAAAGTTGTTTTCTCAATTTTTTCACTTCAAATCTCTCACAAAAATTTAAAAATAACCCAAAATTATATTCATATCCAAACACAACTCTAATTTTTAAATATTATTTTCACTTGAAATTATTTTTTCCCGTTTTCGAAATTTTGCAATTCTTACGTACAAACGCCCACTTAGTAAAGCCAGTGGTTGGAATCTTACCTGATTTGGTTACCAATGTTTTATTTTGAAATATAAATTACACACAAGTTTTCCACATCTCCAATGCTTTTTTTTCAAACTCTATTACCTTAGACTTGTTTGCTCGAAGTAAATTTGATTTTATGTATTTCGAAGTTTTAATCTTTACTATATAGTGCGGAAATTAATATATAAGGACCGCGAAATAAAAGATAGCCCACTCAAACTTATTTATCATTTCAAACTCAAATGATACTTGAGAGCAATCATTTGATTTTTAAGTTTCATTTGAGGTCTTTAAATTTTAAATTTTGTAAGTTGTTAGATATACATGTCTCCATATATGGGCCCATATTTTGTAGGATTAGTTAACTCATATAGAAAAGGCTGATACCTTATTTATTTTAAATAAATACCCTTTTAAAAAATTATATTCCATAGTTATCTTTTGATTTTTTATATCCAAATATCTATTTATGGTCATCTTCTATCATTAAGCCATAAAATAAGCTTTGTGTTATTTTTCTCTCTTCCCTCAAATTTCTCAATAATAGGTAGCCTCCACGGACCAGAGGGAGTAATAATCAGCCATAAAATTTCTTAGTTGGCAACTTTTTTGATTTCCTCCATTTTTGAATTAGAAGAAAGATGAAGGAGATGAATAGCAAGAATGAAACCAACTGTTGAAACTCCATCTCAGTACAAGAAAGAAAGGTAATTCGATGCTTTCGAACCAAGGGTCGACACATACTTCCGAAAGCTAATAATTGTAAGGATTAGCTACTGGATATTGATGTTGTTTCAACGAGATGATATTAAGGTTGTTCTTGAACAAAGACGACGGAGTTGAGGGCTGAGTAACTTAAATTTTCTGTCAATATTTTTCAATGTATTTCAATGTATCTCGTTGTATTTCATTATATTCATTGTCTTTTCTTTTTTTCATTGTATTTCAATCTATTTCGCTGTTTTCTATGTATTTCATTGTATTCATTATCTTTTTTTTCATTGTATTTCAATATATCTCGTTGTATTCTATGTATTTCATTTATTTACTGTCTCGCTATATTCCATGAATGTATTCATATTTTTTTATTAATATAATTTATGTATCCAGATGTATTATATAATTTCTCTAAAGATTGCTATATTTTTGGGGTGTTTTTCAGTTGAGAATCTTTTTTATAACTGGAAATACAAATTTTGTGTGTTATAATTGAGTTTGTTAAGTTATATTAGGAGTCTATTATGTTAATTGATTCGCTTTCCGTTTTAAAACAGTGTAATCCCCTATTTTACGCCGTGAATACAATCGAATACAATAATTTGTCCAGCTGTAATCTCATGTTTCACGCTATGAAAACAGACGAATACACTCAAATACATAATTTATCCAGCTGTAATCCCATGTTTCACGCCATGAATACAGTCGAATACACTCGAATACGACAACTGATTAGCTGGACTTCCCTGATTCACATCTATTTTTGCTATTGTATTCATGAATACAATAGCTTAAATGCATCTAATACATCTTATAACAACAGAAAATGTATCTACAATCCGTAATATAGCAAATGGTATCTATAGATAGCTAATTACCACTAAAAGATAGTGCTTTATGAAAATTTCTCTATTTTGTACCATCTATAAATTAAGAGGAAAATCACTATTATTTAGTGGCTATTAACTTCTTATAGCTATCAGATATATATAATTACTTCTTATAGTTACTATTCAGTTATTACGGTAGTATATTCGTTGTATTCACGATGTTGTATTCATGAATACAATAGCAAAAAGCACCTAAAATTCCGGCAGTCCAGTTGTATTCACGTCATATATTCATGAATACAATAACGACAACCACCTTAAAAATAGGTCTGTCCAGCTGTCTAATAGCGAAATAATATCAATTAACATGATACACTCCTGATATAACTCAACAAAATCAATTCTAACATGCCTCATTAATGCAATTAATTAGAATGATTTTTCAGTTGTATATAACTGTTGTATTTAACTTTTGTATTTAGTGTGTTTCAATTTTTTTAATGTTGCATTCATTAGATTCAATATTTGTATTTACAATATTCACTATTTTATATTCAGTGTATTCAAATATATTTATATTAACAATATTTTAGTTGTTCCTGATACATGTTAGTACTGTTGTATTCAATATATTTTATTGGTTGTATTCACTGTATTTCTACTTGTATTTAGTGTATCTTACTGAATTTTACTGTATTTTAAAATTAAATATATTCACTGTTTATAGTTCTATGTTAATATTTGTATTCAGTATATTTCAATATTTATATCATGCATTCAGCTGTATTAAAAAAATACAGACCTTCGAAATATATAAATACAAGCAAAAAAAATATTTATACAAAAATACAATGTGTTTGAGTGACTTTGTATAGAATACAATGTATTTGTATCATCATATGCGACTAAATAGCAAAGAAGAGAAGAAAGTTCGTCGGAAATGGTGTTTTCCGGCCAAGACTCCTTGTGTGACTGTACACGTCACAATAAAGAACTCCAATGCTTCAAAGAACAATGCAACTACAAGAATAAGGCAAGCCTTTAATCAGTTTGACGGAAGACAGTGTAATTTAACCTTTCACAAAAAATTTGCAAACTTGATTGAGTATGTCACCAAACAAGATAAGAAACCCCACGTATTGGGAGAATTTTCAAAGGAAGAAATCTTGCAGATTTGGAGGCTTCAGCAAATGATTCAGGTTCATAAGCATATCGAACCGAGATGAGGTAAGCTCGATCTTTGGGGAAAATGATTTATAAACCTTCAACAAGATAAAAAATTTGAGAGGATCGATGAAGCTAGGGGTGTTCATCGGTCGGTCGGTACGATATTTAGACATTTCGGTTCGGTATTTTCGGTATTCGGTTTCTTAAAATGCTATACCAATACCGTACCTAATTAAATTCGGTATGGTTCAGTTTTTCTCCTTTCGGTTCGGTAACTTTGGTTTATTCGGTTTGAATACTAACTAGTGCATGGAGTCATAGACTATAATATTCTTAATTAAAGTGCTCAAAAGTACAAAACTAAAAATGCTTGTTGACAAAAGTTTTGTCTAAAACTAGCAAATATCAACCTAGAGAGAGAAAATTGTACATAAAAGAATAAATTTGATCATTAGAAATGTCTTGTTACTTGCTTAGCGTTAATTGATGAACTTAAAAAATAAAGGAAAGTAAAATTTTAAATTTTTATATTTATGTTATAATTAATAATATGTGTATTTTATAATATAATATGTATTTCGGTACGATGTCAGTATTTCGATATTTCATATTAAAATACCAAATACCATACCTAATACCGATATTTTTTAAAACTTAAACCAAATATCATACTGAATACCAAAATATCGAATACCAAATACCAAAATTTGCGGTTTCGATACAGTAATTCTGTATTTACCAAATTATGCTCAGCCCTAGATGAAGCTGAGAGATTCAATTGCAGTAACCCTAGAGGATTCGGCTTATTTTGCTCGAAGAGAGAGAGAAGAAAGAGAGAGAAAGAAGAAAATTTCTGAGAGAGATTCGTGTGTTAAATGAAAGAAAGAGACAGAAAAAACATAAATAACGCATTTCATGCCTCAATGGTAATATATATCATAAATATATATTTTGCTATAAAATATAAAAAATAGCTATAGAAAATAATATAAATAATTTTGGTTTGTAATAAATAGGGTGTATACCTTTGATACAGGAGGTAAAATTTCCATAAATTAAGCCTGATAAAATCTAAAATCATTTCTTATCGAACTCTTAAATGTATTATCGTTGATCGTAGTACCATTGATAAAGGTCAAAAAAATGAAATGTCAAGCAGAGAACGTTCAACCAATATAGGGTACAATTATACGGTTGAGTAAAATTTTGTTGAACAATTCCTCCATTCCCACCTTTTCTGTGTCAACAATATTCTGTTGAACAAAGCAAGTAGCGATGCAACACTGCAATTGTTGAAGTAGTTATATAGCACGTTTGGCAAAATTCGGGTCAAAAGTGGTTTTTTTTTTCCTTTAAAAAATTGAGGCGTTTGATCAAGCTTTTATAAGAAAAAAAAGTGCTTTTGAGAAGAAGCAAAAATAGTTTTTTATAAACAAAAAAAAGTAGCTTATCTCCAAAAGTACTTTTTGAGAAGAATTTTTTAGAAAAATACACTTAGAATCAGTGTTTAAAAGATTGGTCAAACACGAATTACTGCTCAAAGTGCTTTTCAAATTAATTAGCCAAACACAAACTGCTTCTCACCAAAAGCACTTTTATGGAAGTAATTTTGAGAAAAACACTTTTCAAAATTAGCTGATTTTAAAAACTTGGCCAAACATGATAATAGACTTACAAATACATCAATATAAAATACAGTAGGATTACGGAAGAAAAGGTAGAATTGTAAGGTTAATGTAGAGGGTAAATGGAAAAACCAATGATCTTCGTTTTGTAAAAGGGAAAACGAATGATTTTAGTTTTGCATACAAATTAAGCAATGCCTAATCCACTTGAAGACATCTTCTTAAGCCAAAAGAAACAATGACAACTGCAAGTAATCCAAAATCTAAGGCAATGTCAAAACCTTTTCTTCTCCTTTACCAACCAGCATTTGCCCTCAATCGTTATCATACAACTGTTGAAGCAAGATCAAAATCAAATATCTCATGAGAAGTGAAGTTACAGTCTAGCTACTAGTTCCCCTTGCACCAAAGTACTAAAATAACTGCTACTCTCACTCTATGTTTATGTTAAATCTTAGTATTAACTTATTGTAGTAAAGTAATTTAGTGAGGTGATAACGTATATTAGTTAGTCATAATTAATTGATTGCAAACATATATCACGTATTTGTTAGATTGATAAATACTATTATTATTATAGGTGTCGCTGCTACATTCGTGGTTTCAGAAAACTTCTCTAGTGGACTCTAAAGGCGGTAATCTCTTCCTCTTGACATGTTTTGTGGTACATAATATTTAAGTATCTGGTACACATAATTGGACTATACCTCCTAAGTTTTATTCTTTCCTACTTATTATTGAGAATAGAATTAATAAGATCAATATATGATATATATAATGTCCTCCAATTTTTGAAGTGCATATGATTGATATTGGACTATTAGGTGAAGTGAATAATTATGAGTTGTAAAAAGAGAATTTGATTAACGTGAAATTTTTGGAAGTGTGGGGGGCGGAGTATCTTGCCCGAGTTATGTAGCCTGATCCAAAGAAGAGAAAATGTGAAAAAAAAATATTTATTAAAATTATAATGTTGAAGCCTTACAAAATTGAAATTTTTCGCGGCAAAAATTTATATTGGAAGATAAAAAAAGATATATTGTGCTTCTAACTTAGAGAAATTATTTGCTTCGGGTCTTTTAGTTGTTTGGATGAAAAAATCGTTGAATTATGACTATTTTCTTACTAATTTGAGATATTTCTGTAGAAGTTAAAGTTGCTTCTATATTTAAAGCATTTGTTATTATAGTATGGAATATACCAAAAGAAAAAAAAAAATCTTGTATGTGTTGAAAGACGTTTCAAAATGCACTTGTATGGAAGTCAAGTTTCATTTCATTTGAGATGATATTATGCCTTACTTGAGAAATACTATGAATTAGTATTTTGTATATGAATTTTTCATTGTA